CTGGATCTCCTGCCCGCGACGATGCAAAAAAGAACATGCTGAAAGCAATGCGTCCATTGCCGACGCAGCATTGTTGGGATATATATTTTGATAGGTCAGTGCCTCTCTCTATGGGATGTGTGGATTCTGTGGGGTATTGGATTGAGTACCATTGCTAACGGGGTACCGAATAGACAACAGAAGGATCAAAAGCCTGCCGCAGATGGCAGTTATACTGCTACCCTTGACAAGCTTCCTACACAAGTCGAATCGATTCAGGACTTTTGGCGTTATTGCAACAATACCCCGTTCGATCAGATTAAAATGAGAGAGTCGATTTATTTATTCAAACAAGGGTTCCAACCAGTATGGGAAGATAGAAGGAATATCAATGGAGGTAGTTGGACATTTAGGGTCCCTAAGCAAAATGGTCCGGACTTTTTCACTAGAGTTCAATTGATGGCTATCGGAGAGAAGCTTCAAGGCTGTTTAGAATCAGGTAAGCGGGTTTACACGAATCTCTCGGTTGGAAAAATGCCAGCCCCTTTTCACCAGCAATTGGAATCGGAATATGGAAGAGAGTTAAAAACATCAAATTCTTGGTCGCCATAATGTCTGGGTGCTCTATGAACAAGTGTTCTAGTTCACGGGTTGGAAGTGGGAAGGCTATGAAATGGAACACTACTGGGAATCGATACTAACATACGAATAGGCGATCAGCTTTGTGGTGTTGGACTCTCCGTTCGTTTCAATTCTCACCTTATCTCAATCTGGCACCGTGATGCCTCGAAACAGAAATCCATCGATGCGTTACTTGCTACAGTAATGGAGGAACTTCCCCAAGAACTGAAACCCAAGCCCGACAATTTCTTCTACAAGAAACACTCAGATCACGCCGGATTCAAAGCTCCACCAGCGGAAAGTACATCCGAGTCCGCACAGACTGAGCCTACTGCATCTAAAATTCAGACGGAGGTTCCAGCGGCTTAGACTAGCTGTTTCATTCATGATATCATGGGAATTATATGGGAATTGGCGTCACAAATATATCATTTAAGGTCAGATAATGAAAGTTATCCACGAGGTGGAAAGGTGTTTCTGTCGGATAGGACCGGATTTTGCATAATCTTGTCGGCGTTCGTACTAAGAGCAATCAGCTAAATAAATGGAATATGTGCAACAAACCAATGCTTCGCTAGACTTCTGTTTCCCCGTGCATTTAACTCCATCGAGGGTAATTTCAATCCAATCCCAAATTTCATGCCAGGAATGCCACCAATAAATTATGTCCCAAAACTCCACGTGCGCCAAGTGCTCAAGATCGCTCATCATATGTCAAATTGACCCATTCATCCAACCGTCACCTCCACATCCCCGCCCTCCTCATGACATCTTCAAACTCATCTCTCTCCACGCCCTTCCCAACACCTTGTCCGCCATTTGCCTCTAATAACATACTAACCAGCAACTCCTCATCCACATCCTCTTTCAACACCCTCGCAACCCTCTTCAACGTCGCCAATGTAATTCTTCCCATGTCCTCTCCGCCTCCACTGCCGCCCTTCTTCTGTCCAGCATTTGAAAATAGTCGGAACGCATCATCTACATCTTTCTTATGTGAGTCCGATGTTCGAGTCCGGGAATGAAATTTAATAGCGCAGATGGCAACGAAATGCCGATAGACTGTAAAGCCTTCGTCTTCCGGGTCGAGGATGCTGTGGTATTCGCGGAGTTCGGAGGGGGTGGGGGTTAGTCCTAGAGCGCTGTTTCAGAATTAGTACATATTTTCACTCACGGAAATTACTGTCGTGTACACAATAAATCAAGCAGAGAAATGAACGCTCTAAAAAGCGAAAGAGAAGTAGCACATACATCAATGCCCTCCTCACATCACCCATAGCAATAACACCCTCCTTCTCGCCCTCCATCTTTTGCGAAAATAATGAAAATGCCTCCTTGATCTCTGTTTCTTCCGCAGCGGTAATATTGTGTTCTTTAGCTAGCTTGGACCGCGGTCCAGCTGCTGGCGCAGAGGTATCGTTGCGTTTGCTGGCTGGGGTTTTTGTTAGTCATGTGTTAGATTTGGAAAATGGGGCGGTGGGGGAATACCATTCTGTATACCAAGCAATAAAATAAAGAGGTGCGCAAAGAATGTTATTGTGAAAAGGCAAACTGGACCGGGGGATAAAATACAATCGCGAGTTGCATTTGGATATTGATAAAGTTCGCCCGCCATATGCATGACGCGAAGGCCTTATTGACGAGGCTGAAGTGGAGTATTGTGGATTGGCCATTCGGCTATACCTATATTAGACTAGATTTCTCGCTAGCGCAGAAACTAGTGAGCTGTATGAAAACCTCGAAATTTTTCTCGACATTTCGATTCCTTCTTTATCATGTACACAATGGCATTCATTCATGCAGAGATCTTCAATCACTGAAATCCTCAACAACATGCAGCTTTGAATCAATTGTCAATTCATTGTTCTTCTCTAAGACAAGTAGGTATTCTTCTTTTAGCACATCATCATTTCTATTCTTCTTCGAACAGAAGAACCCCCCAACATCCGCTTCAAAATATTGCTAGAGCTTGCCGAGTCTCAACCCAGAGCGAGCAAGTGTGGACAGTGAAGCAAGAATAAAACCAGGGTCACGATTTTGATTCTTCGAGACTTTTCCTTGAGGTATCCTGACTATGAAGCTCGTCGATGAGTTTTGTGTTCGGTTCCTTTAGGAGACATTTGATATTTGGTGGGATGGGTTTAAGGACTTGGGAGGAATGGTGGTTTAGTTCTATTAGCTTATGCAATACATTTACATCTTCTCAGTACTGTTTTGTTGTTTGGCTGTGATGTGCATTTGATCTGATTTGTCTTCTGTGAGATTTATGAATGGCCAAGCTGGTCATAAAGAATGATGAAGCTCGCTTCATGTTTGGACTTTGGACCTTGGTATTGTATGGTCTATCTGTCTATACGATATGGGCAATTAGTTATACTCTGCATTGTGAAACAATGTGTTGCTATCGGTGTTCGTTTCTTCTTCGGGCATTCTATCCAACTACTTCCACCGATTCAAGCCTATTCATGATACCAAAAGCACCGCAAAGCGCATGGTGGCTTTCTGCCACCATCATCCCTATTCTTGATTCCCGTAGCGTTGAGTACCTGTATACATCCAGCCGTTTTGGATGTCTTCATAGCTAGCCTACATTACAAGTTGGCTCCGGGTGATACTATAAGTATGCGAAATCAGATGTCAGACAAAATTAACAGTTTGGCACCAGGCGCTGTGATCCTAGCTCTCATATACCAACTCGAAAACATAACCAAGAATATCCCTTCTTAAACTCTGCAACTTCTTTAATGTTTTGTTAGTGCGACAGCTTTCTGTAACTTGTACGGCTGCCTCTGCTCTTTCGTTTCTGCAGCCTCGAATGGATGTATCTTGAACCGCAGACGTCGACGTAAGTCGATCGATTTCGCACTTTCGCGCAATAACTCATAGTGGATTCATAATGGGTGTGTTAGAGCTATCTCCATGAATCACAACTTACTAGTGATGAGTTTCTGATATTTGAAGACATATGCTCGTAAATTATACCATAGTGAATATGGTTGAAAGTGGAGACATACGAGCCTGCCAAAAAAAATGTATCTCGACACTCCTCGAAATTCATACTACTGCCGCGCAGACTTTGGGAATAAATGAAAGCAAACAACGAAATGAAAAGGCTAGCTAGAGCTGTCCACATAAACTCAAACAATCAAAAGAAGATCGAAAAAAAATAAAGCGAGCTTCAGGATGACAAAAGGATAACGTCGACTTTGTTATCCTCCCAGGTGCGTGGTCTGTAGCTGCCTGTGGCTAATATCCTCGACCTCGTTTTATGGTAGTTGATGTGATCGCTCTACCACTTGCACCAGAAGCGGATTATTAGTTATAAGTTGCGAAGTTGTTTGGATATATATGGGCGACTGGGAGTTGGAACGCGAGGTTCCATTGGCCGATCACGACGTCTTGAAGTGAATATTGATCATGGGGTGTTTTCAGCTTGTCCATTACTTCCGGCATCTATGTATCTACCATTGCAACTTCTGCTCGCTCCGACCCTTCTTAACCATGGGTACATATCCTGTCTGTTCTAATCTCCATATCGGTTGGTTTTCTGGCGGTACAGTCTACCATTCATTAAGCATATCTTTTTCCAATCTTTCCGATCTTTCTACCACAATCGCTTCTTCGTCTTTTCATTCTCCCTCCGCAAATTTTTCTCTATCTGCATCTGTGTCTCCATTTCCTCCCATTGACTCACTTTCCATCCTTTCATAATTACTCTGGCATGTACTAATTCATATCCCGACAACGGTTTTTTCATTTCTTGACGTTTTTGTCAAATATTCACCCCACTGTTTATACAAAAGTCCCTCAAAACTTTTACGCGCCTCTTCGCCAGTCATGCCAAGTAATTCTGCGTTATCCTGTCCACATGACTTCGTTCCAAACCCTTCTTCACAGGCTTCGGGGCATATCCAATAGCAGGCATCGGGCAAGGTGTAACATACTTCGTCGGCTGAAACCGCTATTTTGGCGCCGATGTGGCCGCAGATGTGAAATTTGGTGACATTGCGATAGTATTTGTTGAAGACTTTGTAAACACTGCCGACTGGGACTTGGTTTCTCGCCGTTGGTGTGTATTTAGAAGGTTGAGGAGTAGCAGGAGAAGGTGCATCACAACTCAAAAGGTATTGAATTACCCCTCTGGTAGTACGTGGAGGCGTTGATGAACTCATATTTTGGGAAGTGTCTTGTAATAAAACGTTGAAATGTGGAGGAGAAAGTTTTCCAAGGAGACTCAGTGGCTTACATAGGGTATACCATAGAATGGGGCTCGACTCAGAAAGTTCTGAGTAACATTCATAATTGCTCAGCTTTACCACTCATAATAGTCTCTACCGTTATGATTGATTCCACTTCACGATGCTGAATCATCTTTGCATTTTGTCGAGAAACAAAGTTGGTCAATTATTATCTAATTGACGGAAAAGAATCTTAGTTGTAAGAAAATAACTTGAGAAGAATGAATCAAGCTCATTCTCGTTTAATTCCGTTGTTCTGACTCTCTGGTGCTCTGCTAGGGGAAGATTTTCAATATCTACATGCTTTCGGCTCCGAAACTGATTATTCCCTTTGACAAGATGAAGAGACTGGAGCATTTGAAGTTTGCTCTGATTCTCAGCCATCCTCTTAAACCAATCTATTCCTAATTTTGGTATAGGGGCCAACTCGCCATCTCGAAATCCATAGCCTCTGCGTCTAAGACGAATCCATTCGTCCCAGAGCCCCTGAATAACAATGGCACGCCACGGCTTCCCATTTTGATCGAGCTTATCCTCTATGAGGCTACTAGTTATGTTACAGCCCCAGCATTTTTCGTCGGCGGTACAGCAAACAGCTTTTTTGAACATAAATATAAGACGAAGTAAATCCTCGCGGAAGGGATCAAATTCATGTGCTAGTATGCCCCCACACACGTATACGTTATATACTGTACGACCTTCGATTCGGTTGTTCGATGCTTCATCTTTTTGATCGCTAGATCTCTTTATACTACTTAGATAACAGATATAATTATCTGGATTATGATATCTTTCATTCGGGCCGCAAGAGCAAGACCTTAGACTGCCTCTCATCATGTGTCTGGGTCTGCTTGAAGTTGGAGATACTGAAGCGTCTATGAGGAATACCTATTTCTATGAACGATTGTACAATAGTATACGAATAGCGAAACTTACTTGATGCGATTTCAAATAATGATGTTGAGCAAGAATCATGGTTAACATACCGTTGCCGCGAAAAGGTGAGTGGATATTATAGAATGATGTTTTTTTCGAATTGGCTGCTTGAAGGGTCTTTGTGGTATGTTGTCGAGGTGTTATGCATATAGAAGGAAGGGAAAAAGCGAGGAGCGGGACAAAAAGTACTCATCCGCACAGAATCAACTTTGTCCGTATCTGAAAAAGTATGTTTATCTGCATTTGGGCCTCAGCAATGTTTTTCATATCACATATATAACCTGAGTCTTCAACGATCTAATAATAATGTGAAAATAACTCCACATTGATACTGCGGTTTACTTTAATAGTCCACTAGTGGGTGAGTGGACTGACAGGACACTTTCGATTTTCAAGATTTTGTAACAAATTCATTCTTCAATTCTTTAATATGAGACTCAATTGTTTCATTTTTCAGTTTTTTGATAAGCCATTGTAACAATTCTCGAGATATCTGAGCTGAGCCTCGGAAAAATATTGTTAAGTCAATATTTACAATGTCCCATCAGTCCCTACACCCGTTGGTAATCCTAGTAGCAGTGTCTGGCACAAATATTGCAAAGAAAAGATTCGATGGGTCTATGGCATATGAAGTTTTGGCATTAAGATATTAATGAGACATTGCAATGATTATGTGACTGTCAAGTTGAGAAAAGTCTTTTCGCATGATTCATATGTCAGAAATGCACACATATTCATACGATTTTTGGAACGGGAACAATTTAACCATGTTGGGTTTTTGTAAAGTCAGGCTTGATTATTCTTCTATGAAATGTTAAACATATGAAATTAATATGAGTCCACAGAATCCCTCTCGCGGAAGAAAGCTCTCTCTGAAATCCATATCCTTTTCGGCATGCCTGGAGCCTAGTCCAAAGGCTGCAAATATGAGCGTACCATCAATGGGTGATGATCTTGCTCATTGTCAGGCGAAAAACTATGTGTGCGTGCCATCTGCGAGGAGCGGATTCGCAAAGGCAATTCCGATGCCACTTCTGCTGTACTTTCTCGTTGTCTTTGCTGTTCTCTCTGTTGCCTGCGCCTGTTTTTTCTCGACTTCTCTATTTTTCTTTCCTCCTTGAAGTTGTTCGGAGCTTCCAAAATGACATCCATAATCTGCGTTGGGTTAAAAGAGGGAGGTGTATCGTCACTGTCGACAAATCCATCTACGAACAGCCTATTCTTTCCTGCCCACAGTTCTATTAACTCATTATTGAGAAACTCTTGAAATCGTTCCCTGTTTGGTGCAGAAATGATTAGACCTAATTGGTGTCTAGCCGCGTAACAATTTTGACAAGCTTTGCAGTCCTGACAACGCCATTTCTTAAGGGTGTTCTTAAGGCGCGAAGAGTGCTCGGAAGGTTCAAGTTCGAAGCGTTGGTAGCTTCCGCAGAGGCGAAATGCAGTGTAGCAAATTTTGTCCCGAGGTTTGTTGCTACTATGATTGCCATTTCTGGCTCCATAGTTGAATGTAAGATTGTTGGGTTGAGGAGGGTTTGGTTCGACATAACGAGGGGTCATTTGAGCGGAGTAGTCAGGATTGGCTGGGCGATAGTTGGGTTGGGGAGGGTTTGGTTGAACATAAGAAGGGGTCATTTGAGTGGAGTAGTCATGATTGGCTGGGCGATAGTTGGGTGGGCTGTAGGGCGAGGGAATAGCAGGCAGGGAGGCATGGTTAGGACCATAGTAGTTTGGCATCGCGTGTATGCGTCAGCTTGAAGTTTGATGGGTTGATGTTTGTGTACGTATCTATGCCATTAGCCTCCGGTAAATGATACTATAGTATTAAGACTTACTCGACGTGAATTTAAAACCCGACAATTGAGGGTAAGCCAAGGAAGGGGAAGAGGTAGGTAGAGTTGCAGATGAGTGAGTAGAGATGTGAAGATGTATCGATGCCACACAATAATGTTGTAAGTATTAGTCGCCTGAAACTTTTCCACAGTATGATGTAAAGATGTAGAGGAACTTTGAAGAACAAGTCTGAGAAGGAGATTTTCAAAGCTCTTGAGCACATAGAACTAGCGTACTGTCATTATTCATGTGGCGTATCTCTATATGAATATAACAATATACTTGGTGTTTAATTAGTCGAAAGGTCTTTTCCGTCATTGAACAGTCAGATATCATAGAATGACAAGTCGACCGACAATTTAACTTCTGTGTCATGTATGCCAATTTACTCATTGAAACTGATTCCCCATGAATCAGACCCTGATTCTACGCATGCAGACCATATTCATTGTGTGACTTTTCACTTAGTCTGAATATGAATATGTAAGAATACAAAAAGTCTCACTGAGCTTCAATCGACACATTCATTTGGATCCAGGAAGCTTCATATTTCTGTCAAGTCAGGATTCTATATTGAATATTCCTCTGCTGTTTGGAAGAAAACTTCGAACGTTTAAGAATAATACCAGACAATGTTATGATTACTCAATGTTGGGAACGAGGAGTTTATGAGTTCCAAAAGCTCAGCATTGGTCACAACCTGTACAAGGTCTATTTAGATATCACTTCCACTTTCTGCCAAAGCTGCCACGATATGGATATATTCCAACCTTCGCAGTACCAGTGGGAACAACTATTGCATCTTTCTTCAAACTCATTTCATTTTCCTCCTAAATCATTCGAAGAAATAAACCGGCTTCATATAATGAACCTGCGACAACCTCAAATCCTCAATAGATTTAAAGATCCAATGATCTCTATGCAATGGGTGAGCTGTCTCCTCATACTGATATCCAGCAAGCCCCATTTATCTTAAGACTCGGAGAAAAGAACACCTTCTTCATCATGTAAGTTAGGCGACACATCGCCGCCATAGTAGCCAATCTCGTGCGGGCATCGTATGAAGCGGCCATAGAGATGGAAATCGGTGAATAATCTAATCAGTTGTGAGCTTAACATCCTAAACATTAAGGGGCAGGTTGGGTATTGGACCTGTTGGACTTATTGTAGGGCTTCTCTGCCATCTGCCACCACATCAATCGAATCGGGTTGAACTTCGAGTGCTGTAAGTTGGTGTTATGAACAATTAAATAGATATCTACCCACTATTGATAAGGTATCTCAGATTACTGAACATCGTGGTAGTATGATTATACATTTCCCAAATAGATCTGAGCTCTGAATAAGTTGATAGAAACCACCTTAGTAACAGGGGATTTTCCATGGCGCTCAAACATGGAAGTCCATCTTGCAAAGGATTCACACAAGTCCCCACAGTTCTTGAGCTTATGATTGTACCAGTCGCTTACCTTGAACTCAAGGCTTGCTTGAAGCAAAGGGCTCTAATCGCGCATGCACTCTCTGAGTACTTCACACTTGCAGACTGGTCAAAATTTTGACCACCAATCCTACATAAGATATACATTTCTTTAAGATTTTTTATTTTAAGTGGGTGTCGGTTCTCAATAACCAAAAAAGAATTGTGTGGTCAAGCTCCGGCATTTGTTGATAAGAAAGTTATATGCATACCACGTCTCAATTTGCTCACTAACCATGAGGCGTCTTCTCTTGAAAGTGGCGGAATTCAGACTATCAAGAGCAACATAGTAAGTGCTGGGGTATCTGAACACTGCAAAAACAAACGGAACTAAACTACTAGAACAAGTGTTGTTATTCAAAGAATAAAACTACGAGACCAATTGCTGTTATTTCATGTTAGCGAAATTCATTGAGGTTGTAGAGTGAAAAGTGAGGAGCTTGACCACTACACTATATCATTTGTTTTGATTATTTCATGCATAGATTGAATTATAAAGTCAAGTCAGAGCCCTGCATCAAGGTACTGGGAGGGAAGGAAGAGGTAAAGGTAGATATGGGAGATGTTGGGGAGGAAAGAGCTATGAGACGATGCGGGTATTATGTGGAGCAACCTTATAAATCCGTGAATGCATACCTCAGTAAGTAGATGGTTCAAATGGAAGAACACAAACTTTCAATACCCTGGAAAAGAAAGCTCCGATGTACCTAAACTTCACAGTAGGTGATTATTAAAATGTTGTTCCTGTGCCGTCCCGACATTGATATTCTAATGTCCAAATTCAAATGAATGCAAAATCAAGAGAATGACAATTTGAAAGAAACCAACGTGATAAGCGAAAATACAACTGAATAGGTGGCTTCTAATCCCAGAACAGTGACTTCCTACTTTGAGTGTAGACAAACAGAATACTGGATGACAAAATTCATTGTCGGAAAGGGCTCTTACACATGCAGAGAGAGTAAAGAGATATAGGATTTTGTATTTCATTTGGCAAGCGACATACCAGAACATGATACTTCAAGTGAAACAGAAAAAGAAACTCAAGAATTGCCTTCAAAGATTCACACCATGAAGTTCTAAGTCACACTCGTGAGCTCAGAATTGATCTTGAGTGGAGGTAGTTGCATTCATTAATTTGACTAAACATCCGCACATGGTTCTCTCAAGAGAAAATTATACGGGAAACAGTAGCACAGTCCTCAGAGTCCCAGGGTATCCAATAGTCCGGACTGCAGTCCAACAATATGAGATTTGAACGTCAGAAAGCAATTAGAAATCTGAAAATAGTTCAGTTCAATATTCCAATCAAAGTCAAAGTCTCAAACGATTTGAATGTTCTAATTGGTTTCGGGATTTAATAATCTTTGCAGTCCGGATCATTAGACGCCTTGTCTCAGACCCCTCCTCATAGAGTGTGCAGATATCATTCAGTGTACCCATTCGTGCGAATTCCCATTGTGAAAGACGATTGCAATTCGCATGTTTATAGAAGAGATCTTCGTTGTCAAGCAAAGCGGCTCATTTCCCCACACTAAAAGATATCAAAAATTAGGGCACGTGATTTCGTAATTTTGGCGCGATTCCCCGCGTCACTTTTGCCTCTGTGGTTCATAGATCATTTCTTTGCTTTTGTTTCCACAACCATCTTACGATCTATAATATTGCATTCGCCGTCGCATTCTTTTACAAACCATTTGAAAATAATTACTGGTTGCTGTTCGCGAATATAATACATCCTGTCTCAAATCTCGATTCACCTTTTGCGATTCTGTTCAATCTTGCAACTTTACGATCAAACATCAGATACAACTTCCAAAACAACCCCGCAGCCTTCGAGATTGCGGCAATGGGCTCTTCAAATATAGCTCGAAAGGAGCGGCGCAAAAAACAAACACGTTTGACCTTCGATCCAATCTCCACCGAAGTACCTTTAGATTCACCTGCGAAAAGCCAAGGACCATCGCCTGCGAAGGTTCGATACGAGAGAACGAATGGCGGCACATCTGCAGGAAATGGAGGAAGGATTACACGCAGTGGGATGTCTTCAGGGTTGCCGTTGAAAGCAAGTTCGGGTACCAAAGGAAAATCCGGGGGCAAGGGAAAGAATGCGAGAGATGGAAAAATCAGTTTTGGATCATTGCCAACACCCGCGAAAAGCTCACAGAAAGAGGAAATTATTATTCCAGATACAGAAGTAACCAGCGGATCACGCCGAAGCACTCGAGGTTCAAAAATGAAGAAGCCAATTGTTGAGGATGCCACTGATTCGGGAGATGAGTCTACAATTGAAGTTGAAGTAATGACTCCATCGAAGAAGAATAAAGCGGAAACCGCTGCCACAGAAGCTGCAGGTGACGACTCGGATATTGAGATTACAGGCTCTGCTACAAAATCTTCTGGAGCTGGTTCATCGAGGAGACGTTCGCTCACAGGTCGAGGCTTTATACAAGGTGGAAGTACATATAACGCCCCTTTACCCTCTTCTGGAAATCGAGGCAGAGCATCAAAATCCCTAGTTCATAGCCCCAAACCTCCAACACCCTCGAAGACTACCCCAAAGAAAAGATCGGTAACATTGTCAGATACAAGTGACGATGACGTATTCGCATCAAACTCTAGACCTTCACAACGCCCGGGCCTATTTAGTCAGAAGCTAGCTGCACCAATAGAAAGTAGCGATGAATCTTGTGAGGAGGCCGATAAGGATTCCGAGGATGATATACTTCCATCTTCTGCTAGACGTCGTCAAGAAACACGGATTTTCCCGCAAGTTACACTTGAGATTGATTCCGATGACTCGGATGACGAGCCTCTAACCTCACCCATGAAGAGAAAGCGTCCCACCATCATTTCTGATGATGAGGATAGTATTATTAGATCGCCTGTAAAGAGAACGAGGGTTGTGGATGAGAGTGATTCAGATGATGATTTGCCGCCCATGACTAAGTTGTCCAAGACGACTCCCCCCGAATCTGATAGCCCAGCTCCTCCCCCACAAGTCAAACGAAGAGGACCGCCTAGGAAGCACAGAATTGCTAAGCAGAAGCAATTAGAGATTCTCAAACGCAAGCGTGCTGGAGAAAGTAACCCTGTTCTTACAGAATCTGAGTCTGATGAGGAAGAAGTTGGGGGCTTATATGATTCGGGTAGTGATGCATTGACTACCTTTGAAGATGAAGAAGACGAGGAAGTGGAAGAGGAGGTTCAAGAAACGCGCAAACGAAAATCGCCAAAGAAGCCTGTACGAGAGAACGAGGATGAGTACGATTCGGACTTTGTTGATGACGATGACGTTGGTCTTCTTGGAGTACCAGATTACGCTATGATTCCTCTACATCTCACGGCCGCAGCTCACAAACCTCTCAGAGAACATTTTGTGGAAGCAGTTGAATGGTGTGTTCAAAACAAGATCAATCCAGGTTTC